ATATGTAATATTAGATTAAAATTCTAACATGTAAATAAAATTTATGTATTATTTATTTATTATTAATTATAAAAGTAATATAGGTTTTAAAAATCCATAAAAAGCCGTTATAACAAGAAGTCATATACGTCCAGGCAACGGCAATATAGCATAGGTCGCATACAATACACTGCCAAATGTAATCTCACACAAAATACGTTGTTAAATATTAATTGGTGTGGTTACTCTGATGTGAGGAAACAATAATACTTTTTTCCGTTTTTTGTTATATGCATCTCAAACACACGTCGTGAAGAAACATAACGAGTACATGTATATATTCATTGTACTAACCAACATCATCGATCGGCTAATCAATATTACGTACCTCGATTAATATACATACCTCGACTATTATTGTGTTAATTTCCATACCAAATGTATCTGCCTGCCTGCCTGCTTATATAATGTCGCTGATCCTAATCCTTACTTCGGCCAATTAAATGAGGCAAAATTTCTAACAAGACAGATTCGTGTAACCCCCGCTCGTGCATACGCAATTATTGAAACTGGTTCAAAATGTGTTTCGCGCGCCGATTATTTTGAGCATTAAATTAGTCACTGATGAGAAGGATCTGAACTAGTGCAGTCAGTTCAGTTATAAAGAACAGACCTTATGACTGCGGTCGGGAAGACGCTAGAAATGCTTCGAAGCATTGCATTAACCAATCAGAATAAATAAATCTTTACTCTTTTTATCCTGATTGGTCAATCAAACGCTTCGAATCATTTCTAGCGTTTTCTCGACCGCAGTTTATTTCAGATCAATCAATGGACAAACACAATTCAAATTTTGCGTGTCAGATCAAATTAAATACTGATATCGGCTGTCAATAAAATTTTTTATATTTGAAATGAGATAAACATATATTCGAGCGTTGAAGAAAGAGAGAGCGGAAGATCCGAATGTAAAAGGTGTGTAAACAAAGAAAAAAACCTATAAGACAAGAAGTCACTGCATAATGAATGACAATGCAAGACGTGCAAGATGCTATTTCAAAGTTTAAAGTTCTCTCTGCGGACATATATTTATCATTCGCAATGATCCCGATTTAACGTCGTAAAGACTCGAGTGCTACGCATCGTCAGTTGGAGGTTATAACAGAATATTAAGTGCGTTGAAAAAACAATGATTGATTGCATATAAAAAACTCGTATAAAAAGTATTTAATGGTTACAATAACACAGTGATTAATCTACACAATTGTCCCAATGCCATACATACATGCACACATACACATCTCAAGTGGATAAATAGAATTTAAATTGTCATCTGTATCAAGTAACTATACTATTTATTTTTTTCAATTATAGTATCAACGTTATTAGTGTCTTTTATTATGACTAAGGAAAGGATGGAGCTGCACGAGAATCGTGCTAAAAAACAATTGTATCGCAGATTTTGGCGTAGCATACCAGAACGCATATCCAAGGGAACAGAACATTTTTTCTATCGGTAAACTTTTATCTTAAAGTAAAAAAATTTACAAACGATATGCAATCAGTTTAATAACAAAATGATGCTTTTGTTTTTATACAGGCTGGGAATGCATATTTCTCAAAATCCATTCAAGTGGTTATTAGGATGTTTTATCATAATGTTATTCTGTCTCTCAGGATTGTTTCGCTTCCGACAGGAAAAGAATCCTGTGAAGCTTTGGTCTCCGCCAGATTCTAGTTTCGCGTTAGATACTGACTGGATAATGTCACATTTTGAGAACGGTTTACGAATTCAAACATTTATTTTGACTGGTAACAATGTCTTAGAACAGCAAACACTCATTAGGGTAAACATATAATGCAGTAAATGCTTTATTTCATAATTCTTACTTATTATGTTCAATTAATTATAAAAGGGTCTCAGTAATTATACAAAATATTTTGTTATGTTACAGTTAAATGAAATAACTAAACAAATAATCTCTACTCAAGCACCAATTGAGAACATTTCTTGGAGAGATATTTGTATGAAGTAAGCATCAAAGATATAATATAACAATTACATTAAAATTCTATTAAAGATTAAAGAATTTTATATATTAATATTATAGATTTAAATTTATATAAAGAAAGATTGAGATTTTATGTCAAAAAGATTTATTTAATGTATAATTATATTAATTAATATTTCGTGGAAATGTCTCATTTTATTTCATTATTTGCACATTATAACAAAATGTTAATGTTCATTTGAAAAAAAAAAAGAAATTATCATATTAATATATACAAATTTTTAGGATTCCTTCTATTGCTGGCTATACACATAGAAGAAAGAGACAAAACTCTCTCTCAGAAGACGATTTTTTTGAAGATGATCTCACTTTGAAAGTTAATCAAACATTATTTGAACCCGCTATTCATACTGATACTAAATTATATTGCGACATACTTGAGAGCTTGCCTATGGCTTGTCTTATGTTCAGTATTTTAGATATATGGAATTTTGATAGTGCCAAGATTAAAAAAGATTCCACAGAAGAAATTATCACAAAGATAAATACAGTAAAAGTCAGTCCCACATTGGGCCATTCCATGAATTTTAGTGAACTTCTGGGAGGTGTAACTTTAGATGAAAAAGGTAGAATTATTGCTGCAACAGCTATAAAGACGGAGTTGATGGTTCAGATCAAGTTTCTCAATGTGGACATGGATAAAAGTGGAAACACCGCGGGAACTGCTGATTGGGTAAGGTGAGTTTAGATTAAGGCCTAAATCATAACATATCTATTAATTAAACACCTAATGCTGAATGAATGTTATATACAAAATTTTGAACTCTATTATAAATTAGGATGTATCTAATTGCTTTAAAAAAAAAGTCGGAAATTAAATCATAATATATAAAAACAAAAAAAAAAAAGAAGAAAAAATGATTCTTTAAATTTATTGATGTGTTACCTATATGTGATTTAAGTCTTATATTACTTTTATCCAATTTATAAGAATAAAAATAATTTGACTGAAAGTCAATTATAAATTGTAATATCAAAATTATGATTATATGAAGATTATGATTTATATTTTTATTCTTACTTATATCTTATTATTAAGTCATAAATTTTCCTTGTTCAATATTAAAAATATCTGATCATTAATTAGATTATTTATTATATTATTTATGTGAATTTATTTTAAATAGCTGTTCTTTGATTACAATATATCTTTCACACTTATTACATCTGCAAATTGTCTGTTCAGAATTTTAATTTGTAGTGTTAATCCCAATTTTTATAGTGAATGGGTATAAAATGACGATAAATAATTTATAATAAAAATCGGTCATTTTTACACAGGCAACATATGACGTACTGACTTGGGAATCAGCTTTTTTGGAACTTGCTACAAAAATTGTAAACGAATTGCAAAGTGAAAAAAATAATAATGACCTGTTGACATTTTATTACGAAGCAGGCAGAAGCTATGGGGATCTTAGTGGGACAGCTATGTTTCAAGATATAGATAAATTGATTATAGGAGTTGCATTAATGTTTTTGTTCGTTTTGGCGATACTGTCGAATCATAATTGGGTGGAATGGCGGGTATGCATTTCAGTACAATTATTGCATGAATATCGTATAAATTCCCCTGATTTGATGATTTATTGAAATTGTGTCATCTTTTACGCAGTTTTGTCTTACTAGTGTTGGGCTTTTCTGTGTGGGCATAGCATTTATGCTTGCGGTGGGAATATGCTCTCTAATTGGCATCCCGTATGGACCAATACATACGTCTTTGCCATTTTTACTCTTGGGTCTCGGAGTAGATGATATTTTTGTATTTAATGCATTTTGGATACAGATACATACTGACGAATTAATTTTAAGTAAATCACTGACAGAAAGGATCGGGCTTACGTTAGGTCGTGCCGGTCCTGCTATTACTGTTACTTCGTTTACCGATATCGTAGCGTTTATCATTGGTACTACCACAGTACGTATAGGATTAATTATAATATGCAAAAGAATGCATGACGTTTTATCATATACTGACTGATTTACGATCTTAATGATTTCCGTTCATTTCTTCTGGCATTTAGATTTTAAAAATAAAAGAATTGTATTGAATCAGGAAAGAAATATTCTTAATTAGGTTACTAATATTCTTAATATTGTTCTTTCTCATAATTTTTTGTAGTAAAATTTTCAATTTTTCATATATCTTCCTATAAAAATATTTTCTTTTTATATAGAGATATTGTATTTATTTTTTTCTATTTGTGTGTTTTCACAAAAAAATTAATAATATCAAATCACTTGATTTATGTCATGCATTCTTTTCTTTTATACAGAAATAATTACGATGAAAAAAAACAACTTTCTCTCTCTTTATTGTAATATATACAAGTTCTTTTTTTAGATATTACCATCGCTTCGATCATTTTGCATTTATGCTGCGGTGGGCATATCTATGACATATTTATTGCAAATTACGTTTTTCATTGCCTGTTTTACCTTAGACGCCAGAAGAATAGAACAAAAACGAAATGGAATGTTACCATGTATCGTGCATCAAAACTTTACACCCAAGTTATCAGATCCAAGCAAAGCATTCTCCTGGAAATGTATACATGTTTTGTACTCACGCGCAATATTAACTATGCCAGGCAAAATTATAATAATAATAATTACGTTCGCAATGATGTCAATAAGTATCACGGGCACGCTCCAACTGAAACAGGGGTTTGATCCAGCATTGTTGATACCGAAGGGATCATACTTGGATCAGTACATAATCACAAACAATAAAAAATTCTCCGATCAAGGAGTTGAAGCTTTCGTTCTTATGGGAGACGACATTGATTATTCCTCTGAATTTTCTAAGATAATATCTCTAACAGAACGCTTGAAGAATGAATCTTTTATACAAAATATAGAACCTTGGCCGATTAACTTCGCAAAATTCGTGTCGACATACTATAACACAGGTTACTTGCTATAACATTTATTTTCTTGAGTTCATCTGAAGTGACAAATGTAAATTTTTTTATTTTAATTTTGGAAGATCTTCCTAAAATTGAAAACTATTATTAATTTATTTATATTAGAAGAATATATTTTTACACAGAATTTTATGGTATTTTTAAGACAAGCGATTTATTTGTTGACCAATCTCAGTTTCGCAAAGTAATGAAACAATGTTTTCTTGTTTTAGATTTAAAGACCACGAAAATTACAGATGACCATTTCTATCATTATCTGTCGAAATTTCTTGTTAGCCGAACTGGTGGCAAATATCAGAGAAATTTCGTTTTTAATGAAACTTTTATGTGTGGTAAGATAGCTCCACGAATCATAGCAACAACCATTGAATTTAAATTCACACGATTTGTGAGTCCCTCCGAGTGGATTCCAGCAATGGATGATAGTAAACACTTAGTGAGCAAAGCGCAAATTGAGGGTTACGTCACAGTGTGGAGCAAATTTTTTGGACCCTGGACCTCCGATAAAATGATCACTCAAGAAGTATCGCGAAACCTCATACTAGGGTTGATCTGCGTCATGTGTACCACAGCAATACTCATTGTTGAAGTGCACACCTGTTTTTGGATTTTACTCTGTATACTTCTCACATTGCTAAATGTTTGTGGCTTCATGTATTTCTGGGGACAACCGATAGACATGGTCTCCAGCATTGGCGAGTATATTTCACACTTTTTGCTCAATCATTGCAATTCTGTTTTGCTTTATTATTTAACTATGAAAGATAAAAATATCTGTAAATATGATACATTGCAAAAAAAAACTATTTGATAAAATCATAGAAAATGTGCTTTTTAACAAAATTTCAGCTTTTATTATAATATGTCAATTTTATAGAATATTAAGTAAATTCTTTATAAATTAATTCATTATGAAAACGTCGTTGTCATTACCATTTCGATAAAGTTGTTCCGTCCAGAAATTAAAGGAATACTTATGTTGCAAGATTGAAAAACCGCTTATAAAGAATATCTGCATAGAGTAATTGAGAACAAACTTACCAACTTTTATTATCTTATTCTGCATAAAACTGAAGTATCATTGTGTATTAGTGCATTTTTACATTATTCTTAACAACACACGCGATTAATTCCCGAGTAGTCGCTCTAAAGCGATTTCTCTTCAATATTTTTGTTCAGAGCGAATATCTCCGCTTGTCAATTAGATGGTTTCGTGTCGACTGCTATCTAAATGACAATTCCTTGTGTAGGTCTTCAGCTGGCTATCGGTTTAAGCGTGGATTATGCCGCGCACGTCGCGCATGCCTTCTTGCATACCGAGGCTCCAGAGGATGACGATGATGCTCCTCGCACAACTCGAGCGTTGATCGCAGTCAGACATATCGGCGCGGCAGTTGCATACGGCGCGGGGTCGACGTTGTTCGCCGTATCGATGTTAGCATTCTCGACATCCTACGTGTTCATAGCCTTCTTTAGAATATTCTTCCTGGTGATTTTGTTTGGACTTTGGCACGGATTGATCATGCTACCGGTAGTGTTAAGTATTATTGGGCCACCAAGTTTACGCGTAACAAAGCGACCGCAGCCAATGTCCGTCGCTGTAGTTGACGATGAAGATTGAAACAGAGATACGGATAGTTTGTTTCAGCAACCTCGTTCTTTATCAATAATATTTATTTTTGGTTCAATAAACATACAAAATTATTACACTATCCGTACTAGTAATCACACATTTATACAAAAATAATAATTAATAATAATAATAATACGTCGGATAACTTAAAAACAGCATTATATATAGATTTATATTTAGATTATATAAAAATTAAGAAATAAAAAAAACAAGTACAAAATAATGTAGCAAGATTGATATAGATTTATTATCAATTATCATCGATCGGAAAGGAACATGACTATTATAAACGTAACGTAATCATGTTTTGCTGGATGCGTTTTATCCTTCATGTATAATTGTAATTAATATTTATGATGTAAAAATGAGCGGCGAGGGAGTGACCTCGGGATTGATTGGCGAACTCCCTCCGCTGCCTCTCTCAGTCTTGCACAGTCCATCTGACATTCGTCCGATCTCTCATTCATTCAACCCCGTCCTCTTTGTCTCTTCTTCCAACTCGTTCCTTTTACCCCTCTCAACCCAGTCAGACGAATCCGTGAAATGACAGTGAGAGGGGACGGAGTACGCATACACGGCTCGAACAAGACACACAGAGAGGCAGGGACATAGTGGACATACAGATACTCGTACATTCGCTCGCACATCAGCGTACACCGGAAACATTCTCGGAGGCGCGCACTCCATACTCAATTATACGACGGTAGTTAGACTGCCGGGGCAGCAAGCCACGCACGAACGATACGGTGATTAAGTTATTACACATCTTCTTAGTTAAGTCGAATTTTACAAATCGGGATTCGTACATTTCATAATTGATTGAGGAACCATCGATACAATAATAATAATCATAATAATATTTACTTAGCAAAATGTGCCGATCGGTAATTGTGGCGAATGACGCGTGATGTGAGCACAGTTAGTCGTGTTAAAAAGATGGGATATCGGGGTATTGGAAGAAGGGATTGAAGGAAAAAGGGAAGGGGAGAATCGGGTTTAGGTGATGGAGAACGACAAGGATTCTCACAATAGTATACACGGCCGGGGATATACAGATATGGGAAAAAGGCGGGATTCGAGGATGACGGTGACCGAAGGCGGTGGACCGTGAAGAAGTCGCACGTCTGCTCACCAGGGTTTCAAGGTACACACGCACTTAGGGGGTACACCGTGGGAAAGACACTCAGGGCAGACAGACACCGACATAGAGACTAGGCTACCGACTATACGTTAATATCTATCTAAACGTGTAATTAGCGTACGCACCGCGTACACATCCGGTACGCAAACATTCTCTCTCCGCCCGTTTTTTGCGTACAATCGGTTGCGGGAGGCGTATCGAAGAAGCGCTCTCGCTATGTTTCGTTTTTTCTTTTTTTTTTTTTTTTTTCTTTTTTACCTCTTTCTTCTCGGTTCTTTTCTTTATTATTGTTTTATTATAATCAGCGATCGCGTCGTAGTCGTGTCTCTTTTTCTTTCTCTCGTTTTTTTTTTATAGTAAACGCTATGTAGTCTTTATTACTCAAGCTTATGCCCAAAAATCTACCAGAGGCACTTTGGGTTTATTAGTACCATTTGAAGTCGGCGTGCGCGGGGGAGGGTACCGCACGCCCCGTCCTCCTGCGCGGAACAGCGGGCGAACGACGAGCATATGTTCATACCTCATCCTCGAGAGAAACCATTGGTTGTTTGATTGACCCGTCATTAATCGTATAATTTCTCACCTTTTCTTGTGTCGCGCAATTATTACCCTGTCTGGCGATGTGTCTTCGCCACCGCGTAGATTCCACCGTCTATCCCTTCTTCCGACATTCTACCCCGCCCTCCCCCCCAATTCCTCTTCCGTGAGCCTACCCCAACGATTCCGTATCTTTTTTTACGCTTTCTTACCTTTCCACCACGGTCTTCCGATGTTTTTTGAGCAATAAATACTTTCTCCACGTACAACTGCACATTGAATTGACGCACAGGACACACGCACACGCGCATACACGTCAGACAGTCATTCGCTATCAGCCGCACGCATTGAAAAAACGTTACGTTAAATGCAAGAGTTGCAAATTCGCAAACACTCATCGCACGAGAACATTTAGCTTCGAAGCGTTTTAAAGCTCCTTATTTTTTAAAAGTATATATAAAATCAGATTAGAATCAGGCATATCGTAGATTTATAGATTACGAAGAGAATAATAAATTGATTTCCGGCAACTTTGTTCATCGAGACAACGACCCTCCGGTAACGTTAGTACTCGGAAATGAAATTCAAAAGTGATACATATGTGGCTTTTACTCGATATTATGCAATGCTTTCGGCTCTCGATCAAACACACGCCCATTCGCGCGGCTCACTTTCACGCACACCAATATGGCTACATCCACAGAGTTAATGTTACGCTTTTAATTAATGATTATCAATTCAATATCAATTCAATATCAATGTATTACAATCAGACAATACTCAACAGTGATCGTTATTCATTATATATTACAATAATTAAGAGTGACAACAATATGACGACGGAGGCGTTGAAGCATTACAAGGGAGAAAGGGAGGGAGGGGGGAGAGAGATTAAAAATCGCATGAAGATGGATCGTGGGAGGATGAAGGAAGAACAGGAGAGTTTTGATAGTGGACATGTTACAACTAGTATCAGAAAAGAGGGAGAGAAAGAGATAGTGATGGGCGTACGAATAAGGCAGGAAGAGGATGAAGTTATCAATGATTATGAAATAGCGACGATGACATCGGTGATGGATGCACGACGATAGGAATGAACGATTAAATGGAACGATGAGTCGCGGAGACTAAGGAGGGGAAGCACGCACACTCAACACAACCGTCACATCGAGCTGGCCTCGCGCGTGGCCATAGTCCATAGATTAATTACCTACTAACTAGTACACAGTCTGTCTCCGTTGCGCGGATGACTTTTTTTCCTCCTTCCTTCCTTCCTTCTCGAGCGCCGTGTAAGTATACGTAATACACCACGTTAAATACGCGCGTGCGCGCGGTATAGCGCTGCCGAGCTATGGAGCGAGCGACAGCGCGCTTATAAGCGTGTGAGCGAATGAGACTTGTTTACATCTCGTTTTGTGTGATAAAATTATGGCAAAATACTCGACGCGGAATACCGCCCTACTGCTCGCACGCGCGCCTCCTCGGATACTAGATATACGCACACGCACACACAGGCATGCTTGCGCCAGTATAAAGTGTATATATGTACACATATACATACGACATACCATCCATATATGTATATAAATATATATATGCTTAATTATTTCATCGTTATCGGTAATTATCATTATTTCATAAAATTCGTCAGTTCACATAATTCAAAAAATTTCAGCTAGAATAGCGGTGGATGGAAATGTTTCTTCGTTAAAAATCGCCAGATCGCCGTTAATCGGCGCCAGCAATCGATCCCTTTTTTTTTTAACACATTTACAAATTATCGATCGATATCACGGCTGATTCCCTCACTCGCGCTTTTCTCTTATCACTAGTGTGTGTCATTATATATTCATTTTTAAAATCACTCGCGGTGCAAACGGTGCGCGACCACCGCGCGACGAGGGAAACGGTCTCGCCTCGCTTTTGCACTCGACTTGGCCGCCGAGGTGTGATCGTACATTTAATATTCTATTACAATGATTTTTTTTTTTTTTGATATCTTATGTACAATTATGCGGCAATATGCTTATGATTATGGCCACACGTACGAACCGGCGACCTCTGAGAAGACTTCTCCTCGACACATATTTTTAACACTTAATCCTTTAATTATATCCCAGTTAACTCGCGGCATTCAACCCTGTTCGGGGTTCTCCCAAGTTCACTCGCGATTTGCGTTATGCTGAGAAAAACTGGCTTTTGCACGAAACCTGAGATAATCGATTACAAGATAGGCCAGTCCTCTTCGTTCGCGCCATCGAGAATTAAATCGGACCACGATTGTGTGTGTATGTGTGTGACCGCTCAGCATGGTAACTCTTGACGAGCGGGCTTCGTCATGTGCTTCATAGAATTCATGGTACATCAGGGGTTGTCCGCCGCCATTATATTGTGCACTTGCTCGAGTTTATACGCCAGTCTCTGTTTCTGCGAGAATTCATCCTCCTCGAGAGTGACTATTAGTTGTTCGTTGTATTTACCCGCGTATGTATATAATTCGTATAAAGCACAGTTCGTATTAAACTCCGTTGTGTGCAACTGAAATAAGATTAAACAAAAATTAGTTGATATGTTAGGCAAAACTCTTATCCTAAGATTCATACGCTGCGAATACAAAAGTAGATAAATACCCTCGATTCTTCGGCAAGCATGGCATTCATGTCTTGATCGGATATGGCTGGCATGACTTTGATATCTGAGTAGTAACGTTCTACCCACTCTTTGTACACTGGAATGTCCTTTGCGTATAATAGCTTCGAACTCGGAGAGTCCTTACCTAAAAACAGAATGGAAGAAAAATATTTATATTTCTGAATCCTTAATCGATACAGGTAGAACAACAATAGATACCTAATCTATGGTCCGACGTTGAACAGCTGTCCATGAATGTTTGCGCCACAACGGATAAACACGAGTCTACGATATTGGACTTGTGTATATCGAAAATAAAATTAGGATTTTTTATAAGGTTAACCCAAAACCTGAGAGGAAGAGAATTGCTCTTCCACGTGTGTACCACTTCGGGATCAGATATGCCATGTTGCAGAGCTTGGTCGTCCATAAAGTCGAACATGTACTTAATGGCGAGAGGAAGCGCCGAGCCTCGATGGGCCGTGCTGAATATGGTCTCGAATAGATCGTCGACGAATTTCTGAAGCGTACCTTTCGTTGCCAGTAACCTCGTCAAATAGATCTCCGAAACCATTTTGTTGCCACGATCTCCCTCCTTCCGCGCATCGGAATCGTGATGCTTAACAAGATGCCAAACTTTCATACCGCCCTCGTGGTTCTGATTGAGCGGTGAAGTAGCGCGGGAAAGTGGAGGACTGGCCGAACTGAATTTGCTAAGATTCAAGGTCTCGTACTTGTGCGACTTGTCCGTCTTCTCTGATAGAATCGAGAGATTGTATATAGATGACTGTTTGGAGACTAAATTAAGCGACGCTCCGTCTGGTACCCTGTAGTGATTCAAAGTATTCCTCTTCTTCCATTCGCCTTCTGTCTTCGTTGTTGAGTCTTCGTCGTAGAGAATTAATCTACCGGACGCGCCAGTTCGCCATTCTGCAATATTCATCAAATGGAATAATGTGAGAATCGCGTGATTTTACGTAAAAGCATTTTTTGGGATATTTAAGCGTGCGAGTCGCTTACCGAGATCAAGATCCTCCTTTCGTGGTCTTTGGCTGTAAGGAGTCGCTCGGTAGATTGTATCCAACGCTTTCTCCTTCACCTGAGATATTGTATCACAGTCAAGCACTTTGACTGGCACATTTTCTGTGTTAGGATCCATTCCGCCGACGAATACGGTTTGTTGGGATATCGAAACATAGACCGTCTGAAATTTTAACAGAAACGTTATTATTACAAAGCGTCAATTAATTTTCTTTACTAGAGCACTGACGCGTCTTTACCATCGGCTTGAAGTCAATAGATTGTCGGATCAACTTTTCTTCGGACAAGGAATATCGTGCTTCTGAAGTAATCGCATCGACAGGACCCTTATCGACTTGCTGTTTTACCGCACGAAATAGTACATATAATGGTTCGCCGGCGCATTCTCTCATGAATTTGTACAAGAGAAACGTGAACCAAGCAGATAACATTTTCTCAGCAACACTCTCAGTTCTAAAAAATAAACAAGCAACTTAAAATATATTTTCGATGAAACAAAGTAATTGAAAGAATACATCGTTGTATACATACCGTCTTAGGAATAATTTTGGATGGCTCTTGCCTTCTGTGCACTTTTCGATAAGATCCGCCAGCAAAGTTTTCAAGATGTCTGTGCAATATTCCATTTTGCTCTGAAGCGTAACCATAATTAAGCTGGCGACATTAACTCGATCTCTCATCGAGAAATAACGGTTGCTCTCGAGGGTGCGTACAAACAATAGTAAAAAAGTTTTGTTCATTATTAGTTGACCGAACAGACGTAACCCCTTCTCTTTTCGCACCAATTCTGGTCTATCCCACTGCAGCACCGGACTATTGTCGTCGCTGGGGAACAATATCATCATCGCGTAAGTGCGATAATCGAGGAAGGGTATGCCACCGCTTGTTAGATCTCCCGTGAGATCCGTCATTTCCGTTTGTAGCTCGGCGAAAGCCTCCTTACATTCGGCAGCGACACGTAGTTCCAGAATGTCCATCTGCTCTTGCATGTTTTTCAATACTCGATTGCTCTCCGTGGATTTTCTGCGATAGGCGATAAGGAATGCTATGAATACGACTACTAAGATTACGATCGCGGCAATCACACCGATGAGAGCGGGTTTCGACAATGGTCCGTTGAGTCCAGCTGGCAGTGCGTAGCTGAGTTTGCCGATGTTGTAACGAAGCGTACCGCCCACTATCAGCACTACTTCCGGCAGTTCTTGTTTATTGGGCAAACCTTGAGCGTCGATAGCCGGCGGTTGCGTCAAGGGCGGTCGACAGGTGAGCTGCTGCCGCGACAAGGATGTGACATTGCAAAAGGCATTACCAATTTGCACAACTACGTCAGATTCTTGGCAGGCGCGATCAAGGTGCTGACCATTAATTGTCAAGTAATCACTCTTGTAATATTTAACTTCCTCATCGAAAACTTCGTAAATTGGATTTGGGTACAAAAGGAAATGATTGAAGCCGTGTTGCGAGAGATTTTGTACGCCAGTGACGTTGTCCATGCGGAAGCCATACTCTAGAGAGAGCGGACGTTCGGCATCTAGTATCACGTGATCGGGCACCTCGATAGTCGGTGATTTGCACATCATACTTTCTTGACTGTGCACTTCGCACTGCGACACAAACATCTTCTCATCATAATAGACATACATTTGCGGGCTCTGTATGTAGCCAAGATTCTTTCCGGTCACCGAAATCTTTATTCCACCCGCTGGAATTCCCTTTGGGACCTTCATCTGACCGGCCACACCGCTTTCCACGCTCTCGATCGTCGGATCGTCGACGTATTCGAAAAAACCATCGTATAAACGCTTGCCACCGTCGAAAGACATCTTGAGCATGCCGCTTCTCTTCC